TCCACAGCTCGCTCGCTCTCTCCCTCTCTCTCTCTCTCTCTCTCTCTCTCTCTGTAGTATGACAGGCTGTAATTGAAGTGGCTTTAGGAGATAAGAGATGCTAACCTTTAGTGTGAGTGAAAATGGCGTTTGGAGAGCGTCCGCCGATCGGTCCATCTCTGCGGCCGATTCCATTTGCATCGCTCCGAGGGCCAGGAGAGCAGAGGAGAGGGCGAGAGACGTTCCCTCTCCTCCATTCTCCTTATCTTCCTCCCCACCCTCACTAGAGCGTCACACACAGCACACCCACACGGCTCTCGGCCTCTCTGCTTTCAGTTTGCGTCGGCTCCCGATATCAAGACAAAGAGTGGAAAACTGTGGATTTTTTTGCCCAAATCATTCCTTGAAGCGTCTGAGAACCAGAGCTTCACCGTCATGAAGTTTTCATCCTTTAAAAAAGAAAAAGGGAAAATTAGATGAGACCGAGGTTTTGAAGTCAGAAGGATGGTGTGAGCGAGACTCAAAGCGAAACTCTTCCAGGGAGAGAAGGTAGTCTGCAGGTGAGAGGAGTGTCATCTTGTCAGATTGCGGCACATTTCTTAAGGCTCCCGTCGATTGTTAGAGATTCCTACATCTGAAAGAACTCGGAGAGATGAAGGACCTTGTCAGAACGTTGGAGACCCTGACGTTAAAGTGTGTGTTCTGCAGAGATGCGAGTGGCGTGGAAGTTAGTGATGTGTGCAGCACTGAAGAGACTAAAGGGGTAACAAAGATCCAAATAAGCGACAACGAATATACCAGGTCCAACGTTGTCTGGAGGCTCTGCAGTTTGTAGACACCTTCTTATCCAGCGTTTGTTCTGAAATGAAGGGTGTTAATATGAAGTTTGTCCACCTTTACGGCAGTAACAGCCTCTACTCTTCTGGGAAGGCTTTACACTAGATGTTGGAACATTGCTGTGAGGATTTGATTGAGCATTAGTGAGGTCAGGTGCTGATGTTGGATGGTCAGTTCTGGATCAGTAACTCATCCCAAAGGTATTGGATGGAGCTCCATCACTCCAGAGAACACAGTTCCACTGCTCCACAGCCCAATGCTGGGGGGCTTTATACCCCTCTAGCCCACGTTTGGCATTGGGCATGGTGACCTTAGGTTCCAGAGTGTCCCATTCTGTTGGTCAGTGCTTTTCAATGGAGATTTTACAAGCTGTAAGCAATGGGTGCAGCTTAAAGTAGCTGAATTCACTCATTATAAGAGCTGTCTGGATACTTTTGGACATATAATGTACCACATAGGAGTGTAATGATGCATCTGTTTAAACTTGGCGATTCAGCTGTGTTAATTCTGGAATGTGAGAATAGATTATGACCTAATCTGAAAGTATTTAATAAATTACAGCTTGTATAATCTCCATTGAAAGAACTGACCAATAGAATGAGACGGTTTGGAGCTGCTGCATCAGTCTCATGTTTACGGTAGATGGACGGCGGCACACAGGATGTCCTATTGTTTTCAGTGTAGCTGCAACAAAAATTCTTCCACCGACAGCGGCAGCGTTCTGCACCCCGCGCTGAGCGGCACGCTCCTTTAATAGTTCAGTTTTCCCAACTTTTGCCATCGACCGCTGTGGTGAAATAAACCGAATTTTGATATTTTGGGAGCCGTGACAAACGTCCAGATGAGCTCAGTGTTGTACAACAGAAATAAAAGAGTACAGAGCGTCCTCCAGCCTTTCCACCTTAAATAAGCCAGGGGTCGGCAACATGTGCCTCCGGAGCCTCATGCGGCTCTTTTACTGTCCTGTTGTGGCTCCACAGCTGAATCAGATCTGTAGGTAATAATAAAATAATCCTCCTTTACAGTAAAATAAAGCTCTGCTGATCGTTCAACACAGTTTAACAATAAATGGTCTTAAACTCTGGAGTTAATGTAGAACTGCTAATTCACCCTTTAACCCTGAAGATCAGCGCAGACTGCTGGTCACCATAGCAACACAGACAACAGTCTCGCCTAGCTAGTAGCTAACGAAACGGCAAAGAGAGAGATTTTAGACGAACAGTGATAATTTGGAGATTAATGGACTTATTTGTGTTTATAATCACTCCAGCTGGTTTCTTGATACGTTTAATCTGCAACGAGAAACTGAAACACTAAGAAGTTATGAAGCTGAAGTCGCTTCTCATTCGCCAGCTTCTTGTTTGAATTTTCATGTTCTACCTTAAATGGTGCAGCAGTTACATTCTGACGCCTCAGGCATCATTTAAGGTGGAACAGGGAAACTCGAACAAGAAGCTGGCGAATGAGAAGCGACTTCAGCTTTGGAAAAAAATCGAAAGTTGAGAGACGTTTTACAAGAAACTGCTCTACTTTTGTAGAAAAGTTTCCTGCTGGAGATGTGAGAAAAGCAGCTATAGCTGAGCTAAAGCTTAAAGCAGAGCAAAGTAAGTCTGTTTTCGTTTATATTATATTTTTAGTCTATACTAGACTAGGATATTAATACATACTGAAACACATTTACAGCCAAGATGGTAAAACGTTACTTCAATAAATGCACATAAAATATTGTGGCTCCCAAAGCAAGTTGATCTTTGTTTAAAGGACAAAAACGGCTCTTCTTAACATTTGGGTTGCCGAATTGGGGAGAAATTGGGGAAATAAATGTAAAAAATAAATAAATAAATAAATAAACAATCTACGTTGCTAAAGCTTTCCGATGATAATCATCCATTTTTGCTGGTAACACTGTCACCATGGCAACGTTTGCGCAGTTTCATGCCGCTTTTTTTTTGGTCGAAGTGAAATACCTGGGTTATTAATCAAGAAAAAAAGATAACTTTCATCCATTTGCTTTATGTGTTCAGTTTGTGTATTTTAAAAATAGCTCTGAATCTCACCAGTTTGGTCAAATTGTGTTGAAATTTGAAATTGGACGACTCATTGAATCGCTTGAGTCGTCATCATATTGAATCAATGTGAGGTCACAGATTTATTTCAGTTATTTCTAAATGTTTTATACTTGTTTTAAGTATTTTAATTAAGTAGAATTCTCATTATATGGGCAGATAATTGAACTTGTTTCAAGCATTTCTTAAAATTAGTCCCAGTGAGATAATTTCTCTTAGAAAAACAAGAAAAAAAAAGTTAACTGATCCTATTAGACTCCCACAATCATCTCAAAATGAGAAATATGAATATTTAGACTACTTTTAAGATGATTTTACTGGCCAAGATGCCCTTTTTGTGGTGTTGTTGCTGGAGTGGATGTGTTACATCGTCTCATGTCCTCACTGTCATTGTAAAATGTGGAGAACGACAAAAAATCAGAGAAGCTCTTCGGTGTGAGTCGGTGACTCGGACGTTATGAGTGTAGGTGAATCTGCCAGCGTTCAGCAGCGCTGCAGGTTTTGCACCATGTGGATTTTTATTTTTTCTGTAGAAAAAAAGCTAATCCGCACACACACACACACACACACACACACACACACGCACACACACACCACACACACCACACACACACACGCACACACACATCTTCATCTCCCGCTGCATCTGAAGTGCCTCTTTTCTTCTGACACGAGCGCTTTTCTGTGGCGTTTGCCAGGAGGGAAAATAGACGCTCTGGACTAAAAATACACCAGAGTGACCCTTATAGATCAGGAGAACCAATTCACACACACACACACACACACACATACACACACACACACACAGAGAGAGAGAGAGACAGCACGGAGGGGTCCGACATGTGAGTCACTCATCACCACTGAGAACAGACACCATCTTTACCACCACAACACACTCACACTCGCTCACGCGCCCGCCTGTGTGTGTGTGTGTGTGTGTGTGTGTGTTATCAGTGTGAGACAGAGTGTGTGTGGTGCTGTATCTGTGATCTCACTCAGCGCTGCTACAGCCTGTAAAGTGTGCCATTGTGTCTGTAATGAGTTCTCTTGCTCGCACAGCCCATCTCTCTCTCTCTCTCTCTCTCTCTCTCTCTCTCTCTCTCTCTCTCCCTCTCCCTCCCCCTCCCCCTCCCGTCGCTCTCTCTCTCTCTCTCTCCCGTCGCTCTCTCTCTCTCTCTCTCCCTCCCATCGCTCTCTCTCTCTCTCTCTCTCTCCCTCTCCCTCCTGTCACTCTCTCTCTTGCTCTTTCATTCTCCATCATTTTTTCTCTTTGACTTTCCATCTTTTTTCTTAAATTCTTCCTCTCTTTCTTTTTCTTTCTCTCACTTTTTTCGTTCTTTCTGTCTTTGTCTTTCTACCTTTTTGTCTCTCTTTCACTCTCTTCTCTCTCTGTCTGCCTTTCTTTTTCTTTCTTTTTCTTTACTGAAACTGAAATCTGTCTGAAGTGATGAAATTTTGTATAGTTTGAACTTTTATCAGTTATTTTTACTCCTCTTCCACACTTATTTATCAACATTAATACCCATCTTGTGCTTCCGCTCGCTGGCCACTTTATTAGAAACGCCCACATTGTACTTGCTCTCGCTGGCCACTTTATTAGAAACACCCACCTTGCACTTCCACTCGCTGGCCACTTTATTAGAAATAACCACCTTATGCTTCTGCTCACTGGCCACTTTATTAGAAACACCTACCTTATAGCTCCACTATGTAGGTGTACAGTTACAGACTGCAGTCCATCTGTCGCTGTGCAGTTTATCATCCCTCTCTACTTCATTCATTGAAGCATCTGTTGTCCAGATGTTTTTTGGGTGGCGTTCCGCTCTCAGCACAGCAGTGACACTGATGTGATAGTGTGTGTGGTGCTGATACGAGCCAGACAGCTGGACCTTTTACACACGTCAGTGTCACTGCTAGGTTAAAAGTGGACCACCAACTGAAAAATATCCAGACAAGAGCAGCTCTGTGGTCAGAATCTGACCCACTGATGACGGACTGGAGGATGGTTAACCCAAACTGTACACCAACAAGGCTGCTAGGTTGAGAGTGGTCCACAACCCAAACACGCTGCTGATAGTAGACGCTGTTAGTGACCTCTAACTGTTGACTGTGTTTCAGAAAGCAGACGACAGAGAGAAACGACAAGAGGCCCATCGCTTCCACTTCGACGCCATGTGAGGAACCAGAGAGCATCACTGGAGAGGCTGAGAAGACCCACCATAACGCGTTCATCTCACTGGAGAGTTTATTTAATAACTTATTTCTTGATTTGCCCCACTGGAGAGTATTTATGTCTTTATTTCAACTGAATGTGCTATTATTTATGACCAAGACGCCCTGTGAGGTGTGGATATTCCCCTGTTGTCGCTCTGATGTCCAGAGAAACTGGTTTTCTGTTTTATTTTGTGATGGATGAATGTTTACTTGAACATGAGAACGTAATGGTATATTCTCAGAGGCGAAGTGTTGATTTCCCGAAAGTAATGAAACATTTCAGTGCCATTTTTGTTGGTCTCGTTTGGTATAAAGTTGTATTTCTTTCTCTTTGGCTTCTCTCTGAGGCAGGAGACAAAAACTAGGACCAGTTATGGGATATTTTTCTCACTTTTTAATATTTTCGACATGGTACGTTTCCCTGAACATTATTACAAATTTTCTTCCTCCATTACTGTTTCGTCTGGCTGTTTTGCTCTCTTCTCCCTGTGGACATGCAGAACACTTTTGGCTGAAAGTAATCATTACAGTACAGATCCACACATTTCTTCATTCATTCAGGACTTGCAGCTGCTGCTCTTTGAAAGATTGGCTTCAGTGGCGTTATCTTCACTGTTTCTCACTCAGAGGGAAACCTGCTGTAAGACAGACGTGTTGCTTGCGAAGGGAAGGTTGTTATGTTTCGTTTTTTTGCCTGTGGATCGACATTGATGTGCCCTCCTGCCTGATTTTAAGCCCACAGTGGAGTCCACTCAGCTGCAGCCTGTTCTGTACTGTATTTCCTTCAAACATTGTTGTTGTGAGGATGCAAGCTAGTTCCAGACCTGCTTCTCTTTTTTGACCCAAATAAATGTCCTTTATCTGCATAGATGAAACATAATACATCTCAACTGACCTATTCATGCTCTACCCACATGAGCACTCGCAGCTACTGCTGTGAGATTGGATACGTTTCACAGAGCACTGGTAAAAATCTCCATTCAGCCTAATGAGAAACTGTAGAACAGACTCGGTTTATATCACAATACCTACATTTAGAGTCAGTTATTCATTCAACCTAATGAGAAACTGCAGAACAGACTCGGTTTATATCACAATACCTACATTTAGAGTCAGTTATTCATTCAGCCTAATGAGAAACTGTAGAACAGACTCGGTTTATATCACAATACCTACATTTAGAGTCGGTTATTCATTCAGCCTAATGAGAAACTGTAGAACAGACTCGGTTTATATCACAATACCTACATTTAGAGTCAGTTATTCATTCAGCCTAATGAGAAACTGTAGAACAGACTCAGTTTATATCACAATACCTACATTTAGAGTCAGTTATTCATTCAACCTAATGAGAAACTGCAGAACAGACTCGGTTTATATCACAATACCTACATTTAGAGTCAGTTATTCATTCAGCCTAATGAGAAACTGTAGAACAGACTCAGTTTTATATCACAATACCTACATTTAGAGTCAGTTATTCATTCAGCCTAATGAGAAACTGTAGAACAGACTCGGTTTATATCACAATACCTACATTTAGAGTCAGTTATTCATTCAGCCTCATGAGAAACTGTAGAACAGACTCGGTTTATATCACAATACCTACATTTAGAGTCACTGATTTCAGCCTCATTACCCCACAACATAAAACTCTATCTAAACTATACTATCTGTGTAATCTTTCTCTCTCTTAGCCTGAATCAGATTTTTACCAAAGCTCTGTGAAGCTTGGTCAATCTAGCAGTAGCTACAAATAAACGTATTTGTGGGCGGAGCCTAGATAGATCAATTAGCGCTGGAAAGTAAAACTTAATCCTAAATCCTGAGATTAGCTCTCAGTACAATGAGATCTTATTAACAACATGGTAAAACCTCTTTTTAGATTTTACACTAAACGTAAACAAATGTTCCTAAATGATTATTTGGCTTCTGCCTGTGGTTCTAGGAAAGAACCTTTACATTATGTGGAGGTACTTCAAAGTTCATACTCACATATCTCATTTTCAAAATTGAGAATTTTTCCATTGAAAGGTTCTTGATGGAACCAAAAGTGGTTGTTCTATGATGTTGCTCCAAAGAACCCTTTTTGGCACCCTTGATTGCTGCCAGTGGTTGTCAAACCAACCAGATGGTCCGAGTTTTTGCTCTATTCCTAAATGTTGTCCCAAAAGTTAGGTTGGGTCAAAAATGAGGACCATCTGGGGGTCCCTGGGGGGACCACTGCCATAAGAGAACCACTTTTGTTTCCATAAAGAGCCATGTTTTTCAAAGAATAAGAGATTAGCCAGTGTGAAGAACCTTTTAAACAATTAAAGAACCTTCACATATTGTGTCAATTCAAAGGTACTTTACGTTATGTAGAGGTTCTTTAAACTGTTCAATAGTTCTTCACGCTCACATTTACAAAAATGAGAATCTTCCCCTTGTAAGGTTCTTGAGGGAGCCGAAAGTGGTTCTGCTCCAGAGAACTCTGAAGAGTGTATGACGAGGAACATCTTTATTTAGTCTTTACGTAAACCTGTCAGTGTCCACACGGCGCACAAAGGGCTCTTTGAGCCATAGAACTGTGGTTCTCAAACCGCTCTGAGGACTGGATTGAGAACCTAGTAGTCCACGTATGTTCTGTGAGTTTATTGGCTGGTTGTAAAGCAGAAATCTGATTACTGTCTGACTCATTTAGACCTGGAGTTTCCCCATTACCTGATTACTCAAGTGCATGTAAACACGTTGATCGGATTACTGACAGAATCTGATTTTCTGCAGTTATCGGATTATTAAGTGCATGTAAACACACTCACTGAGGGGTCATAAAAATGTTTTGTCAGATCAACCTAAAAAAATGGCTTCATGTATTTAAAAGCAGTTGAACTCCTTTTATTCAGCTCAATAAATTACACTGATTGAAAGAATCGTTCATTTAAACCGTTTAGCTTGAATAAAAGTGGTTAATTTACTTCTTACTACATCAAAAAGTCATTTTTTTAGGTTATAGTGCAAATGTCTCTGAATCATCACAGCTAGGCTCTAATTTGCATATCTTTCCTTTCACTTCATTAGCATTGCCTCCTTTAATGGCTCCTTTATTTGCTCTCTTGTTGAATAAATCAAGGCTGATTGACACACTGCTGTTATTAATGCTGTTTTTTTTTTTGTTTTTTGTATTTCTGACTACTGAGATTTTATATTTCTGTTGTTTTTTGTACGATGCGGGGTCGTGGGTGTGAATTAGAATCACTAGTGGAGGATTTTCATTCTGAATGTTCGCTTTTTCATCATGCTGTATTAATCGTTCACTTGCTCTGGTTGATGTTAATAGTCTCACATGTCTAAACAAGGTCTTTTTCTAGCGTAGTGTTCGCATGTGCAGCGTTAAACCTGTCAGAAACACCGTCGGAGCACCAGTGCCATACCTTAATGTCTGTACGTCTGCTGTAACTGAAGATCCATGATTACAAACTAATAGATTTCTCTCGCCTGCACTGCATTGTTGGTAATGTATCTTAATCAGTTTTAATGTATTTTGAGGGGATTGAGCTCAAATCTGTCAGTAAAACTGTGTAAATTGTCAATGGAAAATAAACAGTAATGCTTTGCTATCCTGATGTTGGCTTTCATTACAGTAAGATTTTGGGAATAACTTCTGGAAAATTGTTAGTTTTCATTAAAACAGCCTGAAGTTTCAGCTTCGAACAACGTCTTCATTTTGTCTCTGTTTAATCAGCTACATAGAGAGAAAAACATAAAGAGGAAGCTCTGATTTTTCTCCAGGAATCTTCCTTGAAAGTGCAGGCGCTGATCCAAACCGCTGATCACCATAAATTATCCTGAGACTGTTTCTGCCTCTGATTTAGATTCAACAATAGCATCCAGTCTGAAGTCTTGTGCACAGATCTTTTGTCCTGCTGGAGTCAGAAGTCTTTGACTTTCCCGAACCTGACGGGAATAATACATAACCGTATATCAGGAGGTTCTACTGAATGAGGTGCTATGATAACACCATGCATTCCCACCTAATCGTACTGATTAATGAGCTGCACAGGCTTTGCTGATACTGGTTATCATGGTATCATTATTCTGATGTGGCAGTACAGTGCGCTGTTTCATCAAGGTTTCAGATACGGCATCGATTCTAACTGCGCCGGCTGTGAGGCCTTCAGCTCAGCTTCGTTTCAAGCTTACGTTATGACCGCCTCCTTGTTTCTACGCTCGTTGTCCATTTTATCAGCTCCACTTACTATATAGGTGCACTTTGTAGTTCTACAGTTACAGACTGTAGTCCATCTGTTTCTCTGATACTTTGTTAGCCCCCTTTTACCCTGTTCTTCAGTGGTCAGGACCCCCATGGACCCTCACAGAGCAGGTACTATTTGGGTGGTGGATCATTCTCAGCACCGCCGTAACACTGACGTGGTGGTGGTGTGTTAGTGTGTGTTGCGCTGGTACGAGTGGATCAGACACAGCAGTGCTGCTGGAGTGTTTAAACACTGTGTCCACTCACTGTCCACTCTATTACACACTCCTACCTTGTCGGTCCACCTTGTAGATGTAAAGTCAGAGACGATAGCTCATCTGCTGCTGCACAGTTTGTGTTGGTCATCCTCTAGTCCTTCATCAGCGGTCACAGGACGCTGTTGGCTGGATATTTTTGGTTGGTGGACTATTCTCAGTCCAGCAGTGACACTGAGGTGTTTAAAAACTCCAGCAGCACTGCTGTGTCTGATCCACTCAGACCAGCGCAACACACACTAACACCACCACCACCACGTCAGTGTTACTGCAGTGCTGAGAATGATCCACCACCCAAATAGTACCTGCTCTGTGAGGGTCCATGGGGGTCCTGACCACTGAAGAACAGGGTAAAAGGGGGCTAACAAAGTATCAGAGAAACAGATGGACTACAGTCTGTAACTGTAGAACTACAAAGCTTCTATATAGCATCATATACCATGCGTTTTCCATCAATATGAAGAACCATTTTACCATGCAGAGAACCATTTAAGCGTGCTCTCTTAAAAAAGATGGTTCTTCAAGAGTTCATTAGTAAAAAAAAATGGTTCTACATAGAACCATGAACACTCAGAGAACAATTGGTCCTTTGCATCATGAAAGGGGTCTTCAGATTAGTGAAGAATGTGTTATAGATGGTTCTATATAGCACCAAAAGGGGTTCTTCTATTGGTACTAGCTTGACATCATAACAATAGAAAGCCCTTCTTAAAAAGGTGCTACATGGAACCATCTACACATTCTCCATCAGTCTGGAGAACTATTTTATGATACAAAGAATTCTTAAATCATGAGGGTTATTTCAGTGTTCTTGGTTCTAAATAGAACCGTTTTCTTTACTGAAGAACCCTTGAAGAACTATCCTTTTTAGGAATTAACTTTATAGAACCTTTGCATTATGCAGAGGTTCTTTAAACCGTTTCATAGTTCTTCACACTCACATATCTCATTTACGAAAATGAGAATCTTCCCCTTGAAAGGTTCTTGAAGGGACCAAAGATGGTTCTTCTCCAAAGAACCTTTTCGGCATCTTCTGAAGAGTGTATGATGAGGAACATCTTTATTTAGTCTTTACGTAACCTTGTCAGTGTCCACCCGGCACACAAAGGGCTCTTTGAGCGATGCCATAGAACAGTGGTTCTCAAACCAGCCTGAGGACTGGATTGAGAACCAAGTGGCCCACGTTTGCTCAGTCCCTGAGTGTTTCAAGTTAGGTTGGCACAAAAATCTGGTCCAACTTGGTGTCCCTGAGCACTAATTTGAGAACCTCCGCCATAGAAGAACCACTTTGTTTCCTTAAAGAGCCTTCACGTAGTGTACCAATCCAGCATCCTTTTTTCTAGAACCTTTGCATTATTCACTGTGAAAAATGGCTCATCAGTTCAACTCAGCAGATTCTTCATGTGGTGACAAGTTAATTAGCTAGATTAAAGAACGCTTTTTGGTGCTCTGTAGAACCCTTTTCAAAAAAGGTTCTATATAGAACCTTCCACAGCACATTCCCCACCAACCTGAAGAGACGTTTAGTGATGCAAAAAACCCTTTAATCGCACCCAAGGTTCTTAGAGTGTTCATGGTTCTATATAGAGCCATTTTTTGTTAAAGAACCCTTGAGGAACCATCATTTTTAAGGGTGTACAGAAGGACCGAGTGTTTGCGGTGCGTTGTGTACTTGTGTTGAGTATGTTTATGTTCTAACACCACCAGGCAGTGAGCAGGTGCCTCAGTGCTGCATCATCAGTGCTGAGCAGGTAGTTTGTTTATATGTGACCTCACAGTTTACAGGTTGAGAGTCCCAATGTTGCAGCTGATCTAGTCCCCTATGTTGTGTTCCCTAGATAGTAGTTCACTTCATAAGGGCTTGGTTTGGGACACGTCCCACAGTGAAAATGATCCGGGAGATCCTTGAATAACGTCATTCCCAGTGAGGCCCCACTGGAGCTTAGCTAGAGCGCCCCCTGTCTGTAGCACTTGCTTCTCTCTCTCTCCTTCTCTCGCTCTTTCTTTCACATCTTTCCCTTTCTCCTCTTTCTCTTGTTCAATTCTCTCTTTTTTACATCATTCTCTCCTCTTCCTCTCACTCCTTCTCTGTCTTTCCTCCGTTCTCTTCGCTTCATTCCATCTCTTTCTCCCTTTCCTTCTCTGCCTTTTTCAATCAATTTTTTCTCTCATTCATTCCTTTGTCTCTCGCTCTTCCTTCCCTGTACTTCTCTCCGCCTGTTTCTCCTCCGTCTCTTGTGCTCTTACTCTTCCCTTTCCACGTCTCCCTCCTTCCCTCTTTCACTCTTTCCCCTTTTCCTCATCTCACGCGTACTCCCTCTCTCTCCCCCCTTCTCCCCCTCCTTACCCTTTCACACTCTCTCACTCTTTCTTTCTCTCCCTTTCTATCTCCCCCCACTTCTCTCCCTCCTCACACTTTCACACTCTCTCACTCTTTCTTTCTCTCCCTTTCTATCTCCCCTTCATCTCACTCATACTCTCTTTTTCTTTCTCTTCCTTTCTCTTTCCGCTTTTCTTTATCTCTCTCTCTCTCTCTCAGCTTTTCCTCATCTCGCGCATACTCTTTCTTTCTCTATCTGTCTCTCTTTTTCTCCTCATCTCGCTCACACTCTCTCTCTCTCTCACTTTCTCTCTTCTCTTTCCTTCTCTCTCATACTCATCCCCCTCCCCATTTCTTCTCTCTCTCTCTCTCTCTCTCTCTTTCTGCCTCTCTGTGCGCCTGCGCACGCACATTTGCACGGGCGGAGTCAGCGCTCGCCGTGGCGCTCGGTAAAAAAAGAGCGAGAGACACAGAGAGACACAGAGAGAGAGAGGGAGAGAGAGAGAGAGAGAGAGAGAGAGAGAGAGAGAGAGAGAGACACAGAGAGAGAGGGGTGTGAGAGGTTGTTGCGTGCGTGCATCAGCCTCGTTCATATCGCGCTCCGGGAACTCCGTGCCAGAGTGTGTGAGAGCGCGCGCGAGAGTGTGCAAGTGTGTGTATGTGTGTGTTTGCATGTGTGCGAGCGCGCGCGCTTTCTCCGTGCGTTCTCGGAGACACGGGAGCGCGTCTGAGAGCGGGACTATACATGGGATTTAAAGCGCCGCGCTGCTGTCCGCGTGTGGAAGGCGCGTGCCGGAGGACAGAGCTGTTGTGAGGAGGGATGGAAATACCGGGAGAGGAGAGGAGCTCGAGCCCCTAACTGACACACACACACCGCACGCGGAGAGCCAACATCACACACACCGTGAAATACTATGGAAAGATAAGAGCTGCTGGAAGCTCGAGACGGAGACGGACCGGAGCTGAACACACACACAGAGGGAGATGCACAGAGGTGAGTTCCTCTCAGCGCGCGCCTCTGTGTGTGTGTGTGTGTGTGTGTGTGTGTGTGTGTGCGTGTGTGTGTGTGTGTGTGTGAGAGAGAGAGAGAGAGAGAGAGAGAGAGATTCAGGTTTTGATTTGCAAAGAGCTGCTGCTGCAGAAGAGCATCGAACCTGTGCCCGTGCGCGCGCTCGCGTGATCCTATAACTCCCCCCCACCAATACACACACACACACACACACACACCGCGCGCGCAGGCAGCTCTAACCTCTGTAACTAGTTGCTCTTTTCCCTCCGTGACAAATTCAGATTTATATCGCCACCTACCGGCGTCTGTGCGCAATGCATGCATTTATTACTCACAAGCGTGTTTGCCACGTCTAATTCCACTGCATTAATAATAATAATAATAATAATAATAATAATAATATTAATAATAATGATACATTTTATTTGTTTATTTCGTTATTTGTACAGTATTTTTTATTTGGACAGCAAATGTTTCATGCTACATATATATAGTATATATATATATATATATATATATATATATATATACACACACACATATACAATAATGATGATAATTCATATTAAAAATATCTAAAAATTATAAAATAGTCCAAAATAATGACATACAATGTCCTTTACAGAAATAAAAAAATAACTTGAAACTAAAATTAACTGGAAAAAAATGAAAGTTATTATAAATAATAATGTTAATATGTATCCTATCAATATTGTTATCAATAATCATTAGTATTATTATTTTAAAAAATGATGCATTTATTTGGGTCTTTCATGAACAACATTTGAACATCACTACTCACTACTATTACTCATTAAAGCAGATTAAAAACATTGTACATTAAATAATAAATGGTCGTCAGTGCTCTTCAGTCCAGCGCGGCGATGTTTAAATCCACTCGACTTCAGAGTGAAAGACCATAAAACACAATCAGAATCAGCCTTTTATATCCAGAACCGCCAGTCAGGCTGTATTCTAACACTCTGATTCAAAACAACACAATAAATACTATAAAAAAGATCAAAAATCAGGAATTTGTCCAGAAAAGCCTGAGCAGTGGCTGTGTGAGGGCAGCGCAGTGATATTCTGGCCCACTGAGGTGAAGAAATGCCTTCCTCTGTTTTTTATTCTCATGAAAATCAGCTGACAGACAAACAGCTTCCATCACCTCAGCTCAGCTGTGAGTGACGGTTCTGCTGGTGTTCCGTGGAGCGTCTGCCATGTTCTAACCTCTCCTGCGTCAGGTTATCTGAAGTAGCTGTGGAACAGTGTTGATTTATACATGGAGCGTTCTTTAATACACACTCTGAAAAAAAAGATGGTTCTTTAGTCCAGGCAGTGGTTCTATTTAGAACCATGAGTGGTTCTTTGCATGGTGAAATAGCTATTCAGATTGATGGAGAATGTAGTGCATATGCTTCTATATGGAACCTTTTTGAAAAGGGTTCTATATAGCACCAAAAAGGGTTCTTCTATCATTACGATGTCAAGCTTGTCTCAATAGCAGAACCTTTTTTGGTGCTATATATAACCATTTTCAATGTTTCCATTTTCAGGTTCTATATACATTCTTAAAAAAGATGGTTCTTCAAGGGTTCTTTAGTTCTATTTACAACCATGAATTCCTTATAGAACCATTTACATGCTTAAATCGTTCTTTGCATGGTGAAATAGCTCTTTAGATTGATGGAAAATGTGACGTATATGGTTCTATGTGGAACCTTTCTGAAAATAGCACCAAAAAGGGTTCTTACAAAGTCAAGCTTGTCTCAGAAGCAGAACCCTGTTTGGTGCTATATATAACCATTTTCAATGAGGTTCTATATACATTCTTAAAGGTATACGGTATAAGGTATCTATATACGTTCTTCAGGGGTTCTTTAATAAAGGGAATTTAGAATGATGAGTGCTATATAGAACCATTTCATGCTTATATGGTGCGTTGCATGATAAAATGGTTCTTCAGATTGATGGAGAATATGTTGTATAAGTGTTCTTCTACTGTATACAAGCTTAACATCATAACAATAGCAGAACCCTTTTTGGTGCTATATAGAACCATTTTTGAAAAGGTCCTATGTAGAACCACATTCTCCATCAATCTGAAGAGCCATTTCACAATGCAAACAAACATTTAAAGCATAAAATGTTTCCGTATGAAACGCATGGTTCTAAATGGAACTAAAGAACACTTGCAGTATTTGACTAAAGAGCGCTTGAAGAACCGTCTTTTTAAGGGTGTATGCAGAACCGCTTTGAAAAGGGTTCTATGTAGCACCAACAAATGTTCTGCTTTTGTTACAAACTTGACATACAAAAAAAGCAGAACCCTTTCTGGTGCTACATAGAACCCTTTTCAAAAAGGCCCTTTGTAGAACCACATATGACGCACTCTCCATCCATCTGAACCATTTCACCATGCGATACACCATTTAAGCATGCAAATGGTTCTTTGAGTGTTTGTGGTTCTAAATAGAACCTGTTTTTGAGAGTGCGGTGTGGTGTTGAGTACTGAGTGACTAAGATCAGGTAAAGGCCTTTAACAGCATTACCACGCGTGTGATTGGCCGCGTGTTTAGACTGTAAGCCTGGATGCAGTGTGAGCTGATGTGAGCCGCGCTGACTGTATTTGTGCCATATTAAGGTTCGGTTCTCGCCGCCCTCGTGGCTTCAGCCGCTGGGCTGGTGACCCTGTCAGCAGCCATTTATTTAACACCCAATACATTAAGACGCTGTGCACAATCCAGATCACATTAGGGCGGCACAAAAACAACCGCCGAGTTCATTAGTGGAGAATATTCCTGAAGGCGTTCTCCGCTGCAGGCGCTGTTTGGGTCGGAGCACCAGCACGTCGGCTTCACTGACGCATCACTACAGCTTAGAGTACGGAGCTAGAACACATCACAACAGATTAGCGTATGGAGCTAGAACACATCACAACAGATTAGCGTATGGAGCTAGAACACATCACAACAGATTAGCGTATGAAGCTAGAACACATCACAACAGATTAGCGTATGGAGCTAGAACACATCACAACAGCTTAGTGTACGGAGCTAGAACACATCACAATAGCTTAGTGTATGGAGCTAGAACACATCACAACAGCTTAGTGTATGGAGCTAGAACACATCACAACAGCTTAGTGTATGGAGCTAGAACACCGCAACAGATTAGTGTATGAAGCTAGAACACATCACAAGAGCTTAGTGTATGGAGCTAGAACACCACATCAGCTTAGTGTACGGAGCTAGAACACACATCACATCAGCTTAGTGTATGGAGCTAGAACACACATCAAAACAGCTTAGTGTATGGAGCTAGAACACATCACAACAGTTTAGTGTATGGAGCTAGAACACACATCAAAACAGCTTAGTGTATGGAGCTAGAACACAGATCACAACAGCTTAGTGTATGAAGCTAGAACACATCACAACAGCTTAGTGTATGGAGCTAGAACACCACATCAGCTTAGTGTATGGAGCTAGAACACAGATCACATCAGCTTAGTGTATGGAGCTAGAACACATCACAACAGCTTAGTGTATGGAGCTAGAACACATCACAACAGCTTAGTGTATGAAGCTAGAACACATCACAACAGCTTAGTGTATGAAGCTAGAACACATCATATCAGCTTAGTGTATAAAGCTAGAACACATCACGACAGTTTAGTGTATGGAGCTAGAACACATCACAACAGATTAGTGTATGGAGCTAGAACACATGAACAGCTTAGTGTAAGGAGCAAGAACACATCACATCAGCTTAGTGTATGGAGCTAGAACACATCACATCAGCTTAGTGTAAGGAGCTAGAACACAGATCACATCAGCTTAGTGTATGGAGCTAGAACACACATCACATCAGCTTAGTGTATGGAGCTAGAACACACATCACAACAGATTAGTGTATGGAGCTAGAACACATCACAACAGCTTAGTGTATGGAGCTAGAACACATATAACAGCTTAGTGTATGGAGCTAGAACACACATCACATCAGCTTAGTGTAAGGAGCTAGAACATCATATCAGCTTAGTGTATGGAGCTAGAACACATCACAACAGCTTAGTGTATGGAGCTAGAACACAGATCACATCAGCTTAGTGTATGGAGCTAGAACACACATCACATCAGCTTAGTGTATGGAGCTAGAACACATCACAACAGTTTAGTGTATGGAGCTAGAACACATCACAACAGCTTAGTGTATGGAGCTAGAACACACATCACATCAGCTTAGTGTAAGGAGCTAGAACACATCATATCAGCTTAGTGTATGGAGCTAGAACACATCACAACAGTTTGGTGTATGGAGCTAGAACAAATCACAACAGCTTAGTGTATGGAGCTAGAACACAGATCACATCAGCTTAGTGTATGGAGCTAGAACACACATCACAACAGCTTAGTGTATGGAGCTAGAACACACATCACATCAGCTTAGTGTATGGAGCTAGAACACATCACAACAGCTTAGTGTATGGAGCTAGAACACATCACATCAGCTTAGTGTATGGAGCTAGAACACATCACAACAGCTTAGTGTAAGGAGCTAGAACACATCATATCAGCTTAGTGTAAGGAGCTAGAACACATCACAACAGCTTAGTGTAAGGAGCTAGAACACATCACAACAGCTTAGTGTAAGGAGCTAGAACACATCATATCAGCTTAGTGTAAGGAGCTAGAACACATCATATCAGCTTAGTGTATGGAGCTAGAACACATCACAACAGCTTAGTGTAAGGAGCTAGAACACATCATATCAGCTTAGTGTATGGAGCTAGAACACATCACAACAGTTTAGTGTATGGAGCCAGAGCACATCACAACAGCTTAGTGTACGGAGCTAGAACACATCACGACAGCTTAATGTATGGAGCTAGAACGCATATCACAACAGCTTAGTGTATGGAGCTAGAACACCACGACAGCTTAGTGTATGGAGCTAGAACACACATCACATCAGCTTAATGC